TGTTTCTCACATAGGTAAGCAGGAAGGCAGGAAGTCTGGAGTGGTTTCCAAGGTGGTCGGTGCATGTTGTTATCAAAGCCAAAGATTTGCACTGGACTTGTCTCCAGGGAGGGGGAAACCTAGTTTCAATATTCCTTCAACTTTTTTGCTGACCAAGTGTTTATTAATAGAAGTTGAATCCCCAGTGGGTTTTTCTTTGGTTAACTGGCGAGCTGGAGAGAAATTACAATACCAAGAGATTGACTGTAAAATAATTATTCACCATGGCCTGCTGGGCAGAAATTTCTCAACAAGGCAGCCTCCAAGGCGCCTCAGAGGGAAGAACGCAGCAAAGGGGCAGCGTGGAAGTCTGGCTGCAGCCTTAGCAGTGCGCGAGCCTTGGTTATCAGGTGGAGGCGAAGCCACCGAGACTCTCTGTTGGCGTGGGCCAGAGAGATCGCAGCAAACGCTGGAAACACGAATTCTGATCACGAATGCCGGTTATGTTTGCCTGTTTCCTGTTGGCTTAAAAAAATCATCCCAGGGACAAACTCTTTTCTTTCATCAAGATGTTACTTTGCGGGGGGGGGGGGCATTGGGGAACTGGGTAAAAAAAGTAAAGGGATGAAGAAGCACAGATGGACAAATTGGCAGCTACAGAGTAGTCACAAGGATGTAAAACACAGCACAGAGAATATAGTCAATAATACTGCAATAACTATGTCTGGGGCCAGGTGGATACTGGAAATGTCAGAGGGACCACTTTGTAAGGTGTATGATTTGTCCAATCACTATGCTGTACACTTGAAACTAATATAGAATAATACTGAGTGTAAGCTGTAATGGAAAAAAAAGATTGTACTTTGTCAGCTAGCAACCATCGGGCAGAGGTAACTCCACTCTCAACCGGGTTCGGTGGTTCTATTTCAGAGGCGCTAAGATCTTTTCTACCTTGTTCTACTGAATATAGTAAACACAATTAAAGATGAAAATGTACTTGAGTTACACATGCATTTGAAGAGTGGAGGAGTTCAAGTCCAGATAATAGCGGAGGGTTTTCTTCTTCCTTTCTTTCTGTACGGAGGTCAAGAACTCAGTCATACTGCAGTCCAGGCCAAAACAAACTATATGATCTACTACCGATTTCCTTTTAAGTTCCCCTCTTTGCAAGGACTGACTTCCTTTTATTTGACTCCAGCTTGCATTAATCCCAGTTATAGAAGTTTTTTTCTCTCTCTCTCTTGCTTCCAACTTCAAACATTTCTTACATAGGAAATAAGTGTCTTTTTTTAAAGACCTACTTAAAAAATATAAAGGACACCATGACTTTGGGGATATGTTTTGGTAGCCTGCGATTTCAGAGTTCACTTCCGAATGGACAGAGTTAGAGGGGGAGCCAAAATGCCTACGTGACCACTGTGGTTGCTCTGAGCCAAGCCGTCTGCTTATCTGATCTCCTCTGGGAATGAGGTGGTTGACACCTTCAGCGGTTATTTAATAATTAGATACCTTATTTGTCAGGAGCCATATATTCTTTGACCAGTGCTGCCTCTTCGTGTGGGTTTTCATGATGAGAGCTGGGTGTTGACTGATTGCCCAAAGAGATCAGAGCCCCGAGCAGGCTTGGGCCCAGTCTTTTTAGCTCGAGTTCACATTTTGTCCTCTCCCCAGCAGCAGTGATTGTCATCGCTGTCATGGGCTTCCAGCTGGAAAACTGTGCCAGTCGAGCCTCCTGGCTGAGCTGCCGAGGAGCCCCCGGTTGACAGAAGGCAGGATGTGGTTAAAACTGTGCTCTGATCCTATCGCTGGTCTCAGGAAACCTATGAGTAGCTGGGGATTTTCTGCAAGTCCTTCTGCCTACCCCACCTTCTCCTTCTCTCTCCTTCTGAGGATTTACAAGCTGGGCTCTCAGGGCCACTGCAGTCAAGAGGCGGGGCTCCTGTTGGGATCTGGGCACACCGTCCTTAGTGAGCTCAAGAGGATGTGTTGGGCATCTTGCATCTTGTAACTTTCTGGGGACAGAGTAGGTTATGCTTCCTGGCATGTGTTCCCTTCCACTTCCAGACTCTTCGAGTCTGTATTATTATTACTATTATTTAAATGGCAGTGAGAAGACCAGGCTCAGGGGCCGCATGATGCCTGAAGCTTTCAAAGGTGCAGGGCAGGGTGGAGGTCAGGGCATCGGGCAAGTCAGCAGCAGGCACCTGTCTGGGCCCTGCTTTGATAAACGGGGGCCATGAATATACTGGCCTCACAAAGTTATTGTGAAGAATCCATAAGTGCAGTGCAAAATTTGCTAGATTAGAAATATTAAAATGTTGTATCTGTCTAGTCCTCAAAAAGCCATTGTTCGAGCTTTACCACATCTCTGTGAAGTTAAACTGATTGAGACTAATATTCCCATTAGACAGATGAGAAAACTGAGGTGCAGTGAGCTGAATTGATTTGCTTCATTGGCTCAAGATCCTAAAACTTATAGAAGTAGCACTGTCCAGCAGAAACATAATACAAGCCATATATTTGAAACTTGTTAGCAGCCACATAAAAAAGAAACAATAAAATTAATTTTGAAATATTCTCTTTAACCCAGTATAGTCAAAATCTTATTTCAACATGTGGCACTAGCCATATTTCAAGTGCTCAGTAGCCACATGTAACTTAGTGGCTGCCACATTGGACAAAGCGGTGAAAAGTATCTATTAAGTGCCTACTAGGAAGATATTGATGTGTAAGACATAACTTGTATTTAAGAAAGTTTGTTTTATGGGGGGGCCAAGAAAATGTCCTTAAAAAACATTTTCTCTTTGTGGTACTTTCTAGTGACCCTTAGGACTCTATTGGCTTATTTTTGAAATCTATGAGAAAATCCCTAAACCACAAAGTCAGGTATTTGGGACTCATTAACCCCCATGTAAACTTCTGTCGCTCATCTTGTTTCTCAGCCCTCTTAAAAATTAAGATTTTTCTGAGTCTTATGCGAGGATGAAATCATTTCAGAAAGATCCCACATCCCAATAGGACCTAGGAGAATTGTCAACTGGAGCTGAGTGATTTTAGTTGGTGAACAATTTTTAAAAACCAGTGACAAATATATAGGGCTGCCTGGGGAATACAATGCCTGTTGGCTGAGATTAATGGCAAGATTAATAAATGGATTGCTTGATGAAAAGGCGCAAGAGAACAAAAACCAGTAGAGATTGCGGAGGAGGCTGCTTATTAATGAACTGTCAACCCAAAGAAAGTTCAAGAAACTCTCCTGTGTTAGCAGGCTGGCACTTCTCATAAAAATCGGGGTCCTTCAGGAATTAATTACACTGGCCTTACAGCAAGAATTCATGGAATTGAGAAACACGGTGGCACAGACCAGCACCGGCCGCTGCTGCAAACCAGGGAAGCTGCAGGAGAAACTAATCATTTTTCCCCCATTGATATGTAGGACATTGTAGTAGCATAATAGCCAGTCAGACATGGGGATGAATGATGGGATCCAGATATACACTGACTAATGAAACTACACATACTTTGAGATTGAAGTCACTTCTCATTTCACATGTAAAATTCCCTTCTGGAATCTGATTTTTCTCCTTATCCTGTGGACCCGCCACTAAGGAGTCCCAAATAATTTTCAGAGTGATTATATGAGAGGCAGATGGGCTTGACCATGATTTATCAAGCTACGCCAAGAGAGAGCACTGTATTCACTTACTCTGCGTTGCTGTAAGTTCCCAGTTTAGTTGGCTCCACAGCACCTTCTCTTAATTAAACTTCAGTGTTGCTTCAGCCCTATGGATGAAGCAACCCAAAGGAACACGGTGACAAGATGGAGATTGTCCACAATTTGCAATTTGATATTGCACATTAGATATTGGAAGCTTCGTAGCCTTTGTTTACCTCTGCCAGGAAGGTAGAGTGAAATTTTCTTCTGTAATGTGTTTAGACCAAGGGCTTCCAAACAAACCATTAATCTCTTGGGTTTCAAATTTCACAATTAACCATTTCAGTTCAGGACTACATTTATTCCTAATAGAGCTTGGTCATATACCTGATGGTGTATGTGCTAATTTTTTAGGCATGAGATGAGTCAATAAATAAAAATGAAAACACATGTAATAGAGATATTTAAAAGACTTGCACTTGCAGGCTTTTTGGAGAGGGGTGTTATTTCAGGGAATGGATGAGAGAAACCTCTAATGCATTTAGAGTGACGTTTAAAGCCGCATGTAATAAAGATGTTTATGAGAGTTGGATGTGCAAAGTAAAAGGGAGAGAACAACTTTTTGGGGGAAGAATAACTTTTGATTGGCTTACGTGATAGGGTATTTCTCCTTTAGGGTCTTCATGTAAATGATCAGCCATTGCTTTCCCTCATCCCACTTTTGGAACTGGGTTGGGGGGCTTTTAGGAAAAAGCTATCTTTATTTGTACCAGAATTATAAAATGTATAGGAAATGATTCCTTTAGTTGTACGTAGAGTTTATCATCCTCTTTCTTTTGCTTGTCACATGCTTGAGTATTGGACCATCCACCACCCATCACTCTGACTTTTCAGGCCCTTGTAATCCACATGACACTATCCTTTTGATTAAAGCAAATTAATGGCTTTTTCACGAATAATTAATCTGCTGCCTTTTTACTTTCAGCTCCAGGCTTTTAACTTTAATGTTGAGTTATCCAGCCTGTGTTGCCATTCGAAGTTTCATTACCTTTAACCTCTTCCCTTCAAAGGTTTAGTAATACCTCTTCAGAAACTTCAATGTTTGCCATAGTAAGTTTTTTTAAAGGCTTCCAAGTTACCCCCCCCCCATACTTTCTGCTGTGTATGAAGTGATTGACTGTGCGGAGATCAGTGGGATGCAATGGAAATTATTTCAGACTTGTGCATTCGGTCATCCTGGAGAATGTGGAGGCTCTTAGGGTAAAGGGAAGCTAAAATGCCATTGTTTTTTTGAAGAGGCAGTTGCATGTTTATTATTATTATTTTTGCAGTTTTGTGTTTCTAACTCTGCATGTTTCTCTAACAGTGACAATTTATACCAGATGACCTCCCAGCTTGAATGCATGACCTGGAATCAGATGAACTTAGGAGCCACATTAAAGGGGTAAGGTTGTCTCTACTCCATTGCCCTTCAACAGTAACTCAAGGCCCGTCTGAACCGTCTTAAAGGTGCTTATACCTTCTGGAGAGAGTATCGTTTTAGAAGAATGGGCAATGCTCTTTTCAGTGTCCACATGTTCTCCTCCCACCGCCAGTTGGTGGGCTGTGTTCAAATATTAAATTTTCAGTCATGTAAATAGGGGATGCTTTTGTTTGGAACAAGGGAGCTAAGAATATTGGGAAACCTTAACATGACCTTTACTTATTGAAATTTTTTAGAGTTCTTCGAAGTTGTGTCTGTTCAACCTTGTTTAATGTTTATGTTTTGCTAGTGATACCACAGATGTTATCTATTACATAACTTAGCAAGAAGTGCTTTGCATTTACAAAGTTGAGGATCTAAATTTATATTTGAGAGACAATGCTTTGGACAGTGCAGAATCAACTGTTCTCATACCTCGTTGCACCAACAAGCTGCTTCACAGTTGACATACAACGATAGTGGGGAGAACATAAACTATCGAGCTTGGGTAGGTAGGGGCAGTTCTTTCCACCTGGAAATGAACAAAGACAAGCAAGTGGGACTTGCTTTCTACAGTGAAAGAACGTACTTTCGGCTTTCTAACAAGTCTGGGTGATAGACGGTTGGATATGACCCTTGGGATGCTCCTGTGATCTATCAGGTGATCTTGTAGATCACCTCATCAGGTCTCCCTAATAACATTATGAGGCCCCGGTACTGGTACCCTGTTTTCCAAAGAAGTAATTCAAGCTCAGAGAGTTCAATGCCCAAATTCACATCATATGAAGTGGTAGAGCTGGGACTCCAAGCCCCGATCTAATTCCAGAAGCCCAGGCTCCTCCAGCCTCCCTGTGGGGCCTTTCACCCCACTGTCAGCCCCAGTGGGCCCGGAGGCTCAGCTCAGCACTCTGCACCAGACAGCTGCCTTCACATTTCTGTGTGTTCGGTGGCTTCTCATTGGATTCTGGGTTCAGGGGGGCTTCTAGAGCCATGCATGCTCCATTCCCCATTCCCCACTTCTTCTTCTCTTCTAGAGTTGCTGCTGGGAGCTCCAGCTCAGTGAAATGGACAGAAGGGCAGAGCAAGTGAGTGGACAATGCAATGATGGCAATTGGCATAGGCCTCGTTGGTGGTGCCCGGGGGCGATGCAGGAGTTAGGACTGACGATGGGTAACCAGGATAGCCATGGGTGCACTGCGATGGGAAACTCCCAGTCATCTCTCTCTTTCCGCTTCTTACTTATCGAGGACGTGTTATGGATGAAAATGGAGGTGGCGACACTTCTCATCAACATACTCCTGGAAAATAGTTTTTAGAATGATGCAGTAGGAACCCCGCGTATTTCTTCATGACTTTCATAAACTGCTAAATTTGTGGCATTACACATATTGCCATTCGATCAGTCAGATCTTTCAGTCATACTTGCATTTTCTCCATTTACCTTTAAATCTCGAAGGGAGAACTTAATTTTTACCCCAAGTCTATGGGTGCCAGACTTCCTGCAAAGAATTTTTCCTTCTCAAACATCTGTGTCTTCCTCAGTCCTGGAACCTACACCCTGGGACATTCTGTAACTTTTTTTTTTTTTTACTTCATTTTCTCTGCTTGAACACCAGAACCAGCCTCCCTCTTCTCATCCTCCTTCCTTTCGTTGGCTCAGTCCTGTCCTTCAGTAACCAGCAGAGTTGTTTTTCATCTTTTTTTTTTTAATCTTTTAAGACTTACTGTTAGACCCTTCTCTCCACTCCAGCCCCAATTTTTTATCCAAATCTCCACTTCCTCTCTCTAGACCCCCAAATAAGAAGCTTCCTGTTGATTTGATTCTTTTCTTCCCCCATTTGCATCCAAGGAAGGGGATGCTGACAATTTCAGCATCTACCTCCTCCTAACTTGTCTTAAATGTCTTGGCATCTTGGTCCTACTGTCCCTTTCTGGATCTCTTCCTTTCTTTCTCCCTTCTCCACTCAGAATTCGGTGTCTCTCCCCAAACTAAATGCCAAGAATAGAAAGAACATGATTTTGAAGTGTGTATATTACAGTTTTAAAAAGTTCTTCATGTTGGAGTACAGGGCTTTTTTCTTGTTTTTTTGCTTAATTACAAAAATTACAGATAAGGAATCTTGGCATCTGTTTGAATCTGGGTCCGTCCACAGTTGAGATAATTTTGACATCTTTCAAGGTCTTTAGACATGTGGTAATAGTCCCTTGCTGGGGAGTCAGAAGCTATATTGTAGGATGAAACACCAAGTATGAATGGTTTGTCTTTTTCAGTTCCACAGAAGAGAAAGAAACCTAGACCAGTTTTTTCATAGGGCTGGTGCTTACATTTTGAGACAGGATTTCTGGAATCGAGATGTATTTCTAGAATACTAACTTCATTCAGAGAGCTGTATCACAAGTTCGAGTGGCTGCAATAGTCTCGCAGAAGAACAGCTCTTGGGAGAGCCAAACAGGTGTGCGGTTGTCTAATTTGCTAACCTACTCTCTCACGCTGGATTTGTCCCTGCAGAGCATGTGGCAACCCGGCCAACGCCTGCTCTCATCTGTGAATGGAACTTTGGTCTAAGGATGGGTGTTAACAGTATTGGACGTCGTGTGAGCAGCTTTACCTGTGTTTCCTCTTCTGATCTCATGACAGTCCTAGGTTTGTGGTCACATCCATCTTTCGGATGAGGAGGCTGATGAGATTAAGCCACCTAATCAAGCTCACGTGGGGAGTGGTAGAGCCATGCTGAAACCCTCGCCTGTCTGACTGTAGGTTCTGGAGCCCTAGATTAGAGTTTCTGGAGCTTTCAGATTGTGACCACCGTAGAAATACCTCTCACACGGAGATCCAATACACGCACATGCATGTGCACACCCACACACAACAGGAAGTTTCCAAAAACAGCGCTTACCCTTGGTCTATGCTGTGCATACTGACGTTTTCTACTTTATTCCATATCATTTTTCACATGCTGGTGGTTATATGTGGGTAGATTTTACAAGCCACGGGTGGGTAATGACCCACAGGTTGCCTCTCTTTTAGCTTGTGAGGATGATGACTCCCTAGCTCTTTCCTCCAGGCCTGAGAGCGGCCGAGAACGGGATTCAGTGGAGTCTGTCATTCCCGTAGAAAGTTTGGTTTTTCCCCAGAGGGGACGTAATCTCTGGCGTCATTGTTCTCTGTAATACCACATTTACTTTGGTTTGTCATTATATAAGAACACTGAAAATACGCTTCAGAAAAGATACAAAGACAAATAAAGAGAAAAAAACCCATCTTTTGCTTTAATCTGTAAGAGGTGCCCTGACGCTATTTTGAAACCAGTGGTAAGAAAGCCTTGATGACAAGGTGGATGTAGAACAGGAAAACTGGAGGTTTCACTTGTTTTTTGGAGAAGATATGATTCCCACATTGCTCATAAAAATGGAGTATTATCAATTTTTTATTAAAAGATCATGTACTTCAGACTAACTTCCACTAAATATTTGTTCATGTCTCCTTTCCTTGACAATGTTACTTTCATTTAAAAAAAAATTGGTTTGTTTCCTCCTGGCCTAACCAGCGCACTGCGACGTTTCTGGTTAGAGGTCTGGGAGCGGTGATAGGCCGGTGGGCGGGGCCGGGTCTCAGGGAGAGCCGGGGTGCCTGAGAGGAAAGCCTGATGGATGAGGGGCAGGGCCGGATGCTCCCGCCACCGTTTTACTCTTGTCTCCTTCTCCTTTTCCTCATTGTCTAATCCCTGCCTGCTCCTTGGGACCAGAATTCTTTTTATGACCTCACACGGGACATCATTGTATTGCAATTCCAAGTCAAAGAGAGGATACTTTATGAAACTCCTTTCTTAATTCTGACCCTTGACCTCACCCACAAACAAACGAAATTAGATTTTTCCAGTGGGTCACTGAGAGGAAAAAATTGCCAGGGACGATCTTTAAGTATTAGTCCACCTTTATGAATAATTTTGTTTATGGTGCCTTGGTGTTGCCTGCTTTTTATTTTTTGAAAACTATTTTCTGTGTGTCCTTAATGGCTGCTGGTTTTTCTAAGGCTGCTCACAAGCCTTGGCTACTCTGTCAGCCTCTGTTTTGTCTCTCCCGAAGAAAATATCCTGCAAAATGGAGAAACACAGCAACCTTGACTGTGGTCCAAGTTATTAAAACAAGGAAGAAGTTATTCTCTGGGGATGTGGGTAGGGGGAGTGGGAAATGGAACACAATAGAAATGGTGAAGGAGTGCTGAGCAAAATGAATGTCCCTTTGCTGGTCCAAGAAGTTCACAGACTGTTGGGAACACACAGTATTTGACCTGTGGATGCTTGAAAGGAAACACGAAAGCCTCGTGACGAGTGATGTATGGTGCAAGCAAAGCTGCGCGGTTTGGTGGGGCCAAGGCTGTTGAATCTGGAGAAAATCCCCGCTAGACATGGTCTCATCCCCGAGAACCTGTGCCAAAAGAGATAGCTGTCTTCTCTGGCTGGGAGTTCCGATACACAGCCCAGCACCTTCCCTCTCCAGCTCATGAACATAAGGTACTCGTCCAAGAGATTTACTTCTTGAAAATGCATAGCCTGCTTTTAAATGACTCCTGGAGCTTGAGACACGAAAGCAAAGGTGGAGAGAAGCAGCTCTGTGAACACCAGCATTCCTGAGTGTGCTTCTCCACCTCCACCCCCGGCAGAAAGTTGAGTTCTCCCTTATGGTCTCCCTTTAAATAAATGGTTACATTCATCTTCCATTGGACTTGGCTAGGTGCTCTTAGCCCTAGTACGGAACAGAGCGTGGGACTGCGGGCCTTTCAGGATGGAGATGGAGACTCAGAGTTCAAGTTGCGTCCTCTATTCCTGTCTGAGTGGACGAATTCAGTAGCTTTTCTGCCTTCACTTTTCACTTACTTGCTGCCACGTTCTCCTCCCTAATTGTTCACCTTTCCCATTTTTTCCTTTAGCGTGTAATCAATTGATTTATTTAATTATGTATAGGTTATATAAGAGTTGGAAGATACAAATATGTAGGGGAAGATATAACTCTCCTCACAATAGCCCAGTGAAACTACTGTTAATATTATGCTGCATATGCTTTTAGACCTTTTTCTATGCATACACGTACATTTTGTATCATTTTCTAACAAGTGACTGGATTCTGCTTAGATCTGATTCAGCAAATGCATAGCTAATAGGCCATTGCAGTTTCAACCTTCATGAGGGCATCGACTTTTTGAAAATATTGTCAACCTCTCAAAAAATATTTTGGCCTTTATAGACTTACCGTCTCCATACCATCTTCCTATTTTATTTTAAAGCAAGGAGTCATTTTGTTCTTGTAAAGGAGAGGAAAAACGACAGGTTTGCTCCATTCAGGAGAAGGAGGGAGCTGAGCAGGAAAGATAGAAAGTTCAGGTGGTGCCGAAGGGGCCAACCTGGAAATGAGGAGCTTGGTGTGCTCAGCACAGGGGGAAGAGGTGGGCTGTAAGAGGACTCCAGTCTGTTGGTGGAGGGGTGTGCATGTGTGTGTGTGTGTGTGTGTGTGTGTGTGTGTGTGTGTGTTTGAGGGGAAGAGGGTAGCAGATGAGTGGAGGATCTCTTGCATGAACTAAAGGAGTTTTTGGACCTCTCATGTCTGATCCCATCTTGGTCCCTTCTGAAACCTTCCATTCACCATTCATCTTTCTCCCTGTCTTCACTTTTAGCTAGAGACCCCCTCACTTTTAGCTAGAAAAACATTGATATAGAAGCTAGATGCATAAAAAAGTCATCCAAATAAGAGTTGATCTGAAATAAGGGCTACTATGCATTTTAGTAGTTTTTTCCCCCCTGTTAAAGGCAAACAAATTCATTGATTCTGGATGTATTTATTTCTAACTCTTCATTTAAAAAGTAAAGCCACAGATGTAGTGTTCTTAAGGCTAAGATGGTGAGTCTATTGAAAAATGAAAACATTTTTCCCCTTTGATCATGAAAGTAACACAGGCTTATTATTTTTTTAAAATTCAGACAATACCAAAACATTATAAAGAAGAACCTACATATTTGTTTTCTGATGAGAATAATCAAGAAGAGGCAACCCCCGCGCCCCCCCCACACACAAAAAAAAAAAACAAGAA